AGATTATTTTCAACAAAAAAGGCTTCACTTATAATCTCAGCTGAAAGATAACCGCTTATCTTTATCGGTCGGTGAATTGTAATTTTGAATCATGATGAGTAGGGGTAAGAAAGTGAACAACGTGGGGAGACTAGAGTATTAGTTACGAGAAAAATGGATATTACAAGTCTCACCTTATACTTTCCAGAAGAGTCTCGGTTGATTTTAAAGGAATCATTGGTTCTAGGCTATAGTCATGGGAACAATACCGATACTATCGGTAATATTCAAATAATTCTATATCAGAATACTTGATGGACACTTCAGATATTTCAATGGATACTTCACAGACTGTGGCCAACAGTGTGGTATCTAACTAATTATGTATTTCATTCTCGTTAAGGTTCGCTGACCTGTGCATACATTACAAGAGGAGTCGTAAAAAGATTGTGGTAGTACCTCCTACACTCGCCACTAAAAGGCTAAAAGACCTATTTGCCTTTCCTGCTTCTGTTCAGTTCTCCAGCGATTTGTATAAATACAGTCCCTAAACCTCCTTTGTACGTCCTCGCGGCAGGGATCTATTAGGATAGCTTTACTGATGAGTCCACTAGCAGATCCCGAACAAAACCATTTCTCCTCTTATCCATTCTTTTCTAATTCTTTCCTCCTTTTACCACCCATTTACAGAGCCGTTAAACAAACAATCAACTATCACTGTCATAAACTCTATAAATGTTAAAAAATGCTAAATTTTCGGCGTTGAAATGAGATACACTGTAAGACTGTTTTCGCATCTGCCGACCATTCGAATTATAAATATTTTTAGGAAGAATTTTTTAACTTCCATCTCCATTTGGATCCTTATCGCGGCATCTTTTTAAATTTGAGTGAGAGTCGGCAAAATGTCAAATTAGCTTTAAAGCAAAGTCGTACAGCATTGAACTTTTGTAGAAATAGTAAATGATTGTTGGTGTTTCCATTACAAGTTTGATACTGTTCCATACGATAGTATAATTACAATCTGGTTCTGACAGCATTGATTGGATTAACCGATTTCTACTTCTACATTGCTATCTAGAATATACAGTAAAGTTATTTTATATTTTTATTGTAATATTCCATGAAGCTTACGAGTAAATGTGATTAATTCTCTACGATGACATTTTTACAACATTTTTAAATAGTGATTGATCAATAAAGTAATCTCAAATTGACGGCATAAGTGGTAAAAATTCAATGAAATGCGAATGTAGTATATATAGGTACCTTAAAAATGTCTGTGGTCATAAATTCTGACAAGTTAACGAAAAGTGAAAGTCAAATATCCGTCTATTAGTTACATACTGTAAGGTTCGTGTTTTAGGTTATTGGTCAGTACCGTTAGGTACTCAGTTTACGATGATCATGCAGATAATACGACGCTTGTAACTACTGACCTATTTTCGACTCCACACTTGTGTTCTCGAAAAGCAACTTTGAAAATGAACTAATAATTTACTTTATCATTTCTTAACTTTTTAACATACAAGCTGATATCACTAAAAGCAGAAACCTGTATACTCACTCTTTTTTCAACTATTTGTGTTTTTCCATTTTGTTCTATATGTAAGGTAAAATGAGACTGAGAAATAAGATGGGACTAGTGTGAAAGCAAAATATATTTTATTATTTATATATTATATTTATTTATAAAAAATATACAAAATAGATGTATTACAATATATAGTGTAGATATATAAAATCCTTTAAAACCTCGCTAACTTGCTCTTTTCATATTCTCTTTACTCCGTTAGTCTTCCATTTATATATTCTAACCATTTTACAATACATAAAAATATGTATCTGTAATAAAGACAACGTTCACAAGAAATGTCAGTTTATCGCAATAAAATAAGCACAGTACCATCTTGTCACACGTACCCAATTCCATCTTATCTCAGAATGTATTTAACACTTCCAAGTTTTTTTCATAAACTAATTTTAATTATCTTTTGATTAAAATTTTTGGAACGTGAAAGAACGATTAAAGAAATAAAATTTATCTTTTCTCCTTGAAAAGATATATGCGCAAACAAGGTAACACTACTTTAAACTTTTAATACAACTTAACACTAATTGTGTTGACACTTTGTATATACACTGCCTGTTAAAAGTTTCAGACCCCTTGAAATGTAACGTCACAAATTAAAAATGATATGTCTTATAAATATATAAAATAAAATGATAAAAATTATATATCTTTATATTTATCTAATACACACATGTTCATGTTGCTTCATTATACACAAAAATTCTCCAATAAACGTTGTCTATAAAAAATGGAAGTTTTTCTTTTAACCGATGTATTGGGCCCAAACTTTTGACCGACGGTGTATCTATTCCTACCGTAACCAATCAAATAACTGGCTACAAAATAAAGATAAACGGTTTAAATGATAAGTTTATCTTAGTAGAAACAGAAACAAAAGGAAAAATAAAAATTGCAGAACTGATTAATCTGACAGTATAGGAATTGATATAAAGTTAAATGAGTGAAAGAAAATATAGAATTTCTAATCAAATCTTATATCTGGTCATTTGACTGATTTTTGCTACGATTACTGTTAAATTGCTAAAGGAAAATTTCCATAATTCGTTGTAATTTGAAACTCGTGCACTCTGAAGCACTTATATTTTAAGACTGATATTCATTTGTACTCACCTTACTGCTATGTTCACAACAAAATTTTAATTACGATTTCTTAACTTTTTCTATTGATTAACACTAGAACTACCAGGCAGGTCAAAATGATTTATATGATATCTTGGATTTCTGCTCATGTTATTGTTAAGAAGATACACTGGTTTTTTTGAACATTTTTTTTCATAAGTTAGTTCACTAATATGCAATTTAAAGTACAAATCAATCGAAATTTTAATAATTTCATTTTTATAATTTATATAAAAAAATAAATATTAGACAATTTGATTACTTGATAGTTTTAGTGTAAAAGGCTTTAGATCTTACAAGCTATCAGCCTAACTTCCCATCTTATACTATCAATTCATATTGCCCTATGCACGATGATTTTATATTCAATAGTATAATTCTCAAGGATATACAGTTCACTTTCAAATTGACACAAAGTTACTTTTAAGTATTACTCTCACATGGCTCTGTACCGTTATATTTTTCATTTCTTTATGACGATATGTATAACGGTGTTCGTATTTCAGCTTAACAATTTTGGAGAAGTATACAGATGTAGATAGCTTGAGGGCATGAGTGAACTGAACATCAGACGAAATCCAGCAAACTTTCATTTAATCAAGTTTTCGCCCCGAAAATCTGGTCATCTCGATCGAACGTTATGTGTGAAGACTGCTTGCATAAGTTGTCAGATATATTGGGTAACAACCATTGTATATAAGAATATACCATCAGCCTGCAAAATCAATATTTATAGTTATGATAGCAACTGTCCTGGTTTGATACGTCCTTGAATATGTAAAAATATTATTTTTCCTTTTGAAAAATGTATTTGATTGGTTATAATTATTCCTTGATTCGTTATAATATAAATTATTGTTTTATATATACAGAGTGATTTATGCAACGGTTACAAGCCATATGTTTGTTCTGGTTGGAGATAGAAAGAAATGTTACAGATGAAAAATGGTATGGTATAACGTTTTGTATATATTCATGGCTACAGATTTTTCATATGTGTAATAATTCAATTGCTAGCCGTAGTATCTTTTTAAAATTAGAACCTACCTCTTTAAATTTTGTCCAAGTTAACCAGTTAACCGTAATTCTTCTTTGTTTTGCTTTGATTTTTCATTAAAATATACTCTAGGTGCATTCGTCCTACATTCGACGAGTGTATACTTCATTTTTTCATTTTATTGCGCGCAAAGCGAGAGATTTTTAAAACTAAATTCCACAGTTAACAGGTTAAAAAGGACGGATGCTAGTAACCGGTGAGTCATTAAAATTTTCCAACCTGAGATTTTCTAATGTATCGTTAACCATAAAATTCCCTGCCCAAGAATTTAGCGTTATATACCAATAGATCGTATAATAATAAACATACTTATACTAATAATATAAACAGTAATAATTGATATATAATATCAACATACCAAAGTTATAAGTTTTTAGTAATGAGCCACTTAAAACTGAAATGTTTTGAATATACAAGTACAATAAGAACAATATTTTAAGTAGGAACATAATACGATGTAGACAATATTTTTAAATGACCTAGGAGAAATGAAGAACATATTTTCGTCTTGTATTTCTAATTTCAAATGTTCATATTATTATATTATTATATATCTGTATATAACTGTTGAACGAATGTTAATTAATATAATTGATGTAAAGTGTTGCGAGTGAATTTGGCGTCTGCGTGATTTGCGTGTTTTGCATTTTATATGTCGCATGTTATTTTCTTCGGTTCTGTTCTGTCAATTAGATCTGTGGATTTTATATGTGATTCATTAAATGTTTTAATAACTATATGATAAAATGCTTATGGTAACATATTCCTTTTGTAAATATGAAACAAATAGTGAGAAATATAATTTGCGACCTAACACATGCGAAGACTGTATTCTTATTTCGATCCGATTCGCCTCGGTCTAGCCAATATCACGAATACTTTGCATAGTTTCGAGAGCCACTGTCTTTTGCCTTAACTCGGCACAATAGTTTTACACATCGAATGGATGATATTGCGACCGTACATTCCACACATCGCGATGTTCGATGGGTATCTTGGCATCGCGAACGTGGGGCATAGGATCAACGAATCGGAAGTGTCGCGTACATAAGGTACAGAAGCGCAGGTTGGAGAAAGTCTTTTCGTATTCCGGCAAGTTGACAGAGTCGAGTGAAAGGCACCTGCTAATTAATACTTTTATTCGCCTTCAATCGAGAAAGCCACAGCGCTACGATAAACCATTGCCAGATACACACTCGTGTGTGTAGTACCTATGTACCGTGCAAACGCTATCCGAATGGTGAACAGATGAAAGCTGTCCTCGCCACAAAGTAGCAAGCGTAAACGTTTTTAATGGCATTATGTAATTTCATGATTTATCGTGGTGCTGCTGGTTTTTATATACATACCTTAAAACTCGTATACTTGTAATGCGCAAATATAAAAACTGCAGAATGCGTTCATTATCGTTTTAAATTACCCGTGAGTACAGGGTAATAAAAAATATTCTTATATTTCGTATTTACTAGATGTTTTGTATGATTTTCTACAAATAAATGAAAAAAACCAAGTGAAATGGCAAAAGAAATGTATACCATATGAAATATTTTTTCGCGAAGAAACGTAATCAATTACTACATGATCTTTTAAATTTAACTTTATTATACATGAGAAATAGTATCACGTTAGGATGTATTGTAGTATTCAAGCCAATTCGAGTAACTACATCAGTATATTGAACCCTTGTCCTCGGGTAGCAAAAAGTAGATCGTCACGTTTCCTTGGGCAGTATTCACCGTCTCCTGGTGTTTGATTAACCAAGTTGCAGCTAGTCCGTAGAGCAGTGTGGGTATACCTGACAAAACAGTATGGAATACAAATTAACGACTGATCAATTATCGAGGCGACACGTCGCGCCACTGAGGCTCCGGGTTGGCTATTTACAGACGGAAAAAGTGTCAATGAAACGAGATGTTGATCACAGAAGGACAATGATATCCCGGCGGGGCGTGCGCTTTCCCCTTTTACGTAGGAACGGTATGCGAGAGCGCTTACCAAGGTTCAGGAGCTTGATCGCCTTGAAAAATTTGTCCTCGCTACTGAGGTCCTGTCGCGCCCTCTTCGTGCAATGATATTTAATGTATGGAAAACAACCAGTTCTAAGTACGTGGTAATTGCTGCTGCCCGCTGGCCAATTGAAGTGGGACATACCCCTTTGGTCGTTGACGATGTCAGCATACTTCACGAAGTACGACGTCCATGGTGGCTCGTTCGTTTGCAGCAGATAGCTCGTTAAGACCTGTTTGTACCGTAAGGACATCGAGTCAGTTTGTGTCTCCTCTCATCCACCTGTCGGTTGAATCTCCCCTTCGTCAATCATTTACGATCGCGGAAGATACCGTCGCTACCGTTATGCACCGTGAACGTTCTATTCAAGCCTACTTATTGTTGGCTCGATCAAACTGTTATTTCCTTTGAAATATTCGGGGAAAAAAGGAGCTCGGCGATTTGGCGATATTTCATACGTCGCGTTGCATTTTACGAAGCAATGGACGCCGAGCATCCGATCGATACCGAGACCAATTAGAATTCTCACGACCACCGAATGCGATTGTAGTTTCATGGAAGGCATTTTTTTACATGCAAATCAATTTATTCGAATGATGAAGTGACATCATGAAGTGTATCAGCGTGTAGAAAACTTGCCTCTGACGCCAATGGTTTCTGTTTCTTGGAGAAAATTCTTGCCCAGGTACCATTTCGACGAGTCAGCGATGTCTTAGGGCTTAGTATTTTTAGAATCATTCGGTTGATAATATATTAAAAGTTGATTACACATTCAAAAGGTACACCTTCTCTTGCTTTCGTTAGAGGTCATAGTTCTGCCTGGAAATATGTGCAAACACAATTTTAATCCTTCCAGTCATGTCTGTTTTTAATAACGTTTATGGTTGTGTAAAAATATGTCTAAGAATGTCAACTATTCTTAAATCATCTATACAAGGATGATTCATACATGCATGTCAGTACTTAAGGGGTAAATCTACACCCTAAATAGGTAACAAATATCGTATGGACATATGTATGTCCAATATAGCTTAATTTTCGAGTTATGGATAATTAAAGGAAATGTTTGAAGTGCCCGTCTCCTACCATAATACACGCTCCTGAACGCCTTAACTAGTTAACAGAGTTTAACGAGTACACGCGTCATCTTAAAACACAAAATAGTACTAATTTTTTCAACGATAAAATATTTATTTTTCAGATAAATGTGTAATTCTTTTATGGCGCGCACAATGAGAGATTTTTCAAATTAAATTTCACAGTTAACTGGTTAATACGTCCTAGCCGTATCTAGTGTTTACAAAGAATATCTATCAATCACGATCCACTCATCCAATAAATAATGCAGTTTTTTTTACATTTCTTCTATTTTGAAAAATTAAGATAAATACAATTTTATAAATCTAAAGTGTATTCTCTTTTATTATATATCGATTACCTATCTATACATTATAATAAGATTAAACAATATTTTGTTTACCTTAATTTTTCAAAACAAAAGAAATATAAATAAACCGCATTATTTATGGCATGGCCCAATATATACAACGCAAATGAATAATATGCACGATTTGTAAGAAAGGATACAAAATGGATTTAAGACCATTCAAAAGATACCTGGTATTTTCGACTGTGGAACTCAATACTATGATGCAAAGTGCGACCAAGCGTCCGTTTTCTGGGCAAAACTCAATGACTTAAAAAGTACAGGTAAAAAAAAATGCTTCACACAATAGTTATATGGTACAGAGTTAAGCATATGTTGGTTATATTTCTTTACATTATAGAGATATTATGAAGTTTTTTAAAGAATAAAATACAAATTTTAACTACTAACTTATATTGAAAACTATATTGAAATTTCTCATTACCGACAATTACTTCATAATCAACAAACCGCATTTACGTATTTCAAAGGTGCTGGAACGTTCTCGGTTTTCATGGAAAGTATAAAATATGCAATTATTCAATATTTAACAGAATACATCTTTAATACGCAATTATTCAGCATTTAACAAAACACATCTTTATTAACACAATTAATTAATATTTAACAAAATATATCTTTAATACGCAATTAATTAATATTTAACAAAATATATCTTTAATACGCAACTAATCAATATTTAACAAAACACATCTTTAATACGCAATTATTCAATACTTAACAAAACACATCTTTAATCCACAATTAATTAATATTTAGCAAAATATATTTTTTAACGCACAAATCAATGTTTGTATCTACTCTATTTGTTTTTCGAGTGTGATGCAATCTATGCTTTCTGACTTCTTTATGAGTTACCTCTAAAGCCTCCTCGAAAAGATATCCCATAGGCATATCAAATGAATCGATTAAATCGTATCCGTGTATTAAAATTGTGTGTACTATAACGGGCATGTAATATTAGCTGTAGTGGTCTAAATGTAAATCTAATGTTTCTTTCAGTAACCTGGCGAATGTAAGGGTATTTACCAAATATGTACAGAATATTATTCCAAATTCTATGAAATTTATCAAACAGGTTTTCAGCAATGCCAGTAATTTCTGAATTAATGTCGGAGTTACTAAAAAACCTTTTGGCGGTGTTACCATTACTTCTTCTAGAATTCTGTTTTGGTTTGCTCTAGCAACCCCAAGCGAGCCTTCAATTCTTTTTTTATTATTTCAAAATGTTTCTTTACGTTCATCTCTGACTTGCCATTTCTTAAACGACAGTATGTATGCAATATGCAAGAGGTATTAAAAAATCGAATCCAAGAATGCAACGTGGACAAACTAAAACGATTATGTTCTACGGTTGAAGGTTTCTCAGCAACTCCAACGGAATTCATCTCCTTAGGAAATATGCCACAAATGTAACATTTAACCATGGCGTTAGTGTCGAATAAAACATTACATTCCCATCGACCATGGTAAAATGCAATTCAAAATTTACTTCCACAACTCTATATTTATGATTATGTGTACTCATAGGGAGTAACTCTTGCTGTTTCCTCATTCATCGATAATTTCTCCTCCCTAATCAATGTGCTAGTTTCTTTCACAAAAAAATGTCAATGATAGTCGAAGATTCGACCAAAGTACGTTTCCCAATGAATTTATTAATTTAGGTGGTACCAAACCGATAAGAAATAGAAATTCATCAGTTCCCATTAAATTTTGGTTAAACTTTTGTTTATATAAGCTATGTTCAGTACTCCCGCCAAAACCCTGCTTGCAAATCAATTTTAAGTTCGATGAATCATCTACTGTTGTCAGTTTTAAAACTCTATCGGTTGTCATATTGAATAGCGATTGCAAATTGAGTTTAGCTGAAACTTTCGTTACTTCTAAACAATCAAAAATAAACATCTCTTTATTTTCCTACATACCTTTACACCAGGAAAGCAGTTCGTACGAACTGCGTTCATAATATTTTGTAGGATGTTATATTTACGCTTTGATATACCCTAAATAAAAGGGAAGTAACTGATGATTTTTTAACTTAGTGATTACAATTGATTTTGTGCTACTGTATTTCTTTATGTAGTCTTTGCGGCGGATTGCAATTCTTCGGCCGATATAGTTTTAATTAGGTCCTCCACCCGTCGTTTTTTGGTCTTCGAGGAAGCTTCTCCAGACGATAATCTAGGTCTTCCAGCAGCTGTCTTCGGTGGTTCAGTAGGTTGTGAATTTACCGTGATGTTGAGTATTACTTCGTTATTTAGCCACTGTTGGTACCAGCGGAGAAAGTAAATTTTATTTTGCCCACAGACTTTCCACGTTTCGATAGAACTTTGCAAAACCTTTTGCAAATGTTCTTAACCGTAGCTTTTGTGGTTTTGGGACAGTTGTTTTAATTAAATAAATTTTTCACTTTATTGACAACGTTAACAACCCTGCCCGAAACTCGACTAGGTACTCAAACATTTATTAAATCCTCATTCTTTAATGCGAATTGTTGACCTAAACAAACAATTGTACAGAATGATAAAAAAGAATGAAAATAGAAAAATGTTGATATTTCATTAATGACGAGAGTATTCTAAAAAATAAATTATGGATATCATTTCTGTTATAACTTCGGTACTGTAGTATTAGCTGAGTTTTTTGACTAGTTGAGGAGATGGAAGAGGAAATGGAATTTCTCGTGGTATTGGATTGTGTTACAGGTTAGCTTAGGTTCGGTTTGGTAACGTTTTATTTGGTTTTCCAAAGAAAAACTTGCAAGGAAAGTTATCGAACCCAGTAATTCAAAAAATTATGACGATTTATGTGTAAGTAAACTAAGTCAAGCCTAATACATTGCAATTCTTTTTCATGACATATTTTACTTTGAAGGGATGAAACCATCCCTTTAAAAAATGCAAATTTTTCTTGGCTGAGAAAGCAAGGCAAGCTAGACTTGACTTATTCTACTTACACATACAGTTTCATGATTTTTTTAACTTCCGGAGTTGATAACTTCCTTTCTTAGTCAGAAAGCAGGTAATCCAGCTTGTACTAAAGTATCGTAATTTTAAAGATCCAAGCACAAACCACAGAAAAATCAAGTGAGTTTATAATTATGTATAACAATGTTGTATAAGTACGAATGGGAAAGAATAATGTGAAGTAAAATGTACTTACTTTGCGGAGTATTATCCATTCTCGCGAATCAGCAAATATATTATATATATATATAATTGACACACCACAATGTTTGAACTACACTTTTCAGCGGAAGACCTGCCGTTCGAGGTATCTGTTCGCAACAGACAAATTTTAGTAGTTTCGAATTTGTCTGAAGGAAAAACGTTTAGGCCATTTTGCACAAATCCGCGATTGTGATTGGCTGTCTTTTCGTGCGGGTAGGTCAAAAATCGACATTTTTTATTGTTATTCTGAAGGAGAAGAATTTTTAAGATCCTCTCCTCATTTGGTAATATTGGTGAAATCTTTCTTCCAAGGCAAAGCGAGTAATGAAAAGTAATTGTGGATAATGACGAATCATCAGCTTTACCGCGCAGAGGATTAAAAACGGCCCAGAGTAATTACGGTTTTATGGCAGTACTGTATGATGAGTTGACGACAGTAATCGCAGTACAAAATAAACTATGGCTCTACCATATATTTCTTTCTGTGTTTAAAAATCAATTCGATGATTTTGTGTAAGATAAGAACAGCTCGAATCATGGCAACCAGTAATCTACTCATTTTTCATATTCCAGACTGACGTGCTCCGTGACACCCATTTTAAAATATCAATCAACAACAAAATTTAGAATCATTCTTCAAGCATACGTAAATATTATGACAGAAAATTTATGCTAATAACTTTTCCCGAATTTTCATTAATAATTCGTAAAGAAGTATAGAGGAAATCACTCGCCACGCTAGAGTACTCCTAAGAATAAGTGAATCTAACAGCAAATTTGAATTTATACTTTACGCGCGTCGTACAGTAACTCGGTAACTCATAATAGAAAAGCTGAACGGGGTCTTAAAGTATAATGTCCACAGAATCGAAAACCAAGAAAATCATAATTTTCTCGAAGGTTCTCCGTTTTCTAGGCTAATATTAACTACAGGATATTTTACGTTTCGATTCCAATGTGATATAAATAGAGAAACGGAATTTATTTGCACAAAATTATGTAAAATCAGAGTTACATACTTGGGAGAGTATTTTCCATTGTTAAAAATCTGTATAAATATATATTTAACAATGAATGCAAGGTAAAAATATAAATACGTAATATTATAAATAAATGGATATCTATAGGACAATCTTTGAGCGTACTAAACAGTGGTTATTATTCATTAATTTCTGAAATAAAACTTCTGTTGTATAGCAGGGATTACTTAGCAACAAACTTGTAACCTTCAATTTTTGTTATATGAGTAGTCGAATTTCTGTGTTGTCCACAGATGATCACATAGTGCGACATGCTGTAGGTTATATGAAGTCACGAAGAGGACGCTTCGAGAATATCCTTCAATCACTCATAATTCGAAGACCACTTGTTTTACCATGTAGATTTATCCCCTGAAGTATTGACATGTATTTATAAATCATCTTGTGTACGTACATGCATAATTATTTAACACTTTATAATGGATAAAAACGCAAAACTACTTCGACATGATGGAAAATAAAATATATGTCGTGAACGGTGGATAAGTGCAACACTCGTCAGG